TGAGAAATTATTTGTTCTGTAAACCTTCACCTAAAGTACAATAAAAAAAGAAAAAAAATAAAGTAAAATAGTTCCAATTAAAAAAGAAAGATAAACCAAATTATTTGGCCTCAAGCAATCTATGGAACTTCCAATTCACCATCCTTTTTAAATCATGGAGCCCTGGTGGCACAGCGGTTAAGAGTTCAGCTGTTAACCAAAAGGTAGGCTTTTCAAATTCACCAGCTGCTCCTTGGAAACCCTATGGGGTAGTGCTACTCTATCCTACAGGGTCACTATGAGTCAGAATTGACTGAAAGGCAATTGGTTTTTTGGGGTTTTAAAACATGGGGCATTATCACATTTGAACATGTTTGATAATCTGACAGGTGAAAATGTCACCCGATTATTTTTATTTCCATATCTGTAGAGACTGATCATTTTCACAAACGTATGTAAACTGCTGTTTCCTCTTGTGAACTACCTGTTCTTATCCTTAAACAAATGTAGATTGTCCTAAATCAATTACCTCATGTCAATTACTTATAGTCACTTATATCTACCTACAAGATATAACCACATGATATTCATTAAACCTAACCATTTTTACATGCCCAAGCGTAAGCTAGTTCAGTATTTCACATCAATATGTTTAATATGCTATTGAATAAAAGAAAAGAAAAGTGAGGGCAATTTGAGAGTAATCCCAAGAGGGGAATTACCCCCCTGGTAGGTGACTACAAAGGGAGAAAGAAAATACCTGAACTTGTTCTCAGTTTCCCCATTTCCACAGCGACACTGGGGGTGTGCACCTCACTGTAGTAAATCAGGAGTTGCACATCTCGATCAAACTTGTGTCCATCATCCAGGGAAATCTGAGGAGGGGCAGGCAAAGGATACACGTTAGAATTATCACTGCTTGGTGTCTGAGGGGAGGTAAGAGCCCAGGGCTACAGGCTTCTTCCACAGGTGAGCACAGGCAGAGGCTAGAATAAAGAAATGGCTCTGGACATGAAACAGGGACAAGGGGGCAGCATAGTGTGACTCCCTCTGGATGAACAGGGAAAACTAAGGAACAATATGGAAGGGAAGATGAGG